CTTTTATCTAAAACCAAAATGTAACGTTTACTCCTGCTGTGTACTTATTATAACATTGTTAATGCCAAATTGGCATCTGTTAAAGGACTGCTTATCACCCGCCATCTTACATGCCTAAAGGCTGCTACACTCTGCAAGAACCTGAAGGACTGCCCTGGTTTGGAGCTTCTTGCAGTTTGTTCTCTTTATGTCATCTGGGCAGAACTTTGTTCTCATTTAGCATTTGACTAGGCCTGTTACAATAACAAATTTTGCTGGGTGATTATTGCAATAATTTCTGAGACAAACAATAATATAGTTTGAAATTTTGAAATTTGACAATAATTAGTAATTATTGTCAAATTTAAAAAGAAATGTTTGTCAATTTATTTTGTGTGTAGTACCTTTTTTGACCACTGGGTGGCAGTATAAGACTGAACCCTAGGATGGATAGTGAGGGAGCGAGCAGCGTGTCTCTAAGAAAAATGGGAGTGAGGCCCCTTGACTGACATGGGCTGTCTCTCTTCAGTTCTCAAAATGGCGGACGCTCTATGTGGTTTGAGTTCTTTAGCATATCATTTTTCACAAAAAAGCTTTCAATAAAAATTAAAAAAAAAAATCAATAAACAAGTCCTCAGCTTCTTTTTGCAGAGAAAAACAACTTTTTACACGAAGGCACGGGTTTCAACCGTGAATTTTGGAGCTTCCACAAGACGGAGGTTTTTTTCCCAGAGGTCGGCCTGTTAGCTTAGCTCATAGCTTAGCTTCTCAGCTTAGCTGCTTTTAATGATCCAAAAATGTGATTTTGGACGGTTAAAATGTATTTTAAAGAGAAAAGAGAAAGGAAGGGGTCAGTGAAGAGCACTGGAGTTGAGCCTTTTGTCATTCAGTGTCTTCAGTAGAAAAAGAGAGACACGAAGAAATAATAAAGCCCATAAATGAAAATGAGGTTGATAATTTTCATTTATGATGTTATTAATTGATTTATTGTTTATTGTGACAGACCTACATTTGACAACTTTTGTGTGTTAGTCAGAAATTTGAAGTGGGGGGTTAACGTAAAAAAAAAAAGAAGCTAAATAATGTTTCCAGGAGTTCTGAACTTGAGTTTTGTGAATTATGACCTGCCAGAATGAACGAGAAAATGAATAATTTTTCTTTGTTGCTGAGAAAAATGCAAGAAGTGCAGTTTTAAACCGTCAGCTACTCACACTACGTGTTGGGGACATAAACATATTATACTAATGGGCTCAGTGTCTTTGTCTTCTCTTGTTGGTAGTTAAAGGCAGCAGGACCTGGTTTAGAGGGGTCACTTCTTTGCATTAATCTGGGGCTTTAAGCCCCGTCCACCCCATGACATAATCATGGCAGCAACTGACCTTTAACAGGTATGAAAAATCTAAACGTGCAAAGAACTATGAGAACCACAGAGAGTGAACACCTAAAAAACATGATCTGACATGTTTTTTTTTTTCAATAAGGGTAATGTCCCATTTTTTAAATAAAGGAGGTGGGGCTTAAAGCAGGTTTCAGCCTATAAGGGAAGCTGGAACTGTTCAGGCTTCAATCTTGCAGTGCCAGTCTGATATCCACCTATTACAGTCTTTGGTTTGGAATGACTCTCAGCTACTACCAAACCAAACTTTAGCTCAGTATGAGTAAAAAGCCATTTTTGTGTTGGCTAACAGTGCTGCGGCAGCCATCTTAAAGACGCACATCCAATAGTTTCATTAAATCATTTAATTTATAAGATATTTGGCTAAGACACACATCAACACTTTACATGATCTTTCCTGGCAATGAGGAATTAAATAATCTTAAACTATCTTTAATTTTGATGCACAGATAAAAAGAGTTGGTATCAGTCTCTACTTAAAATCAGCCTGAGCTATTATATGAACTCATGAAACTAATTTACTTACCAGTAAATCCATCTGTCGTCAGCAGATATTGATATTTTGAGGAACAGAAGTAAAATCTTAAATAACAAAAAATCAACATTACATTTTAAAAACAGTCTAGGCTAAGACTTGATATCCAGCAGTCATTTCAGATGTTTTAAATGCAAAAATATAAACATTGGATTAATGTAGCTCGAGTTTTAAAGTAAACCTGTCAAATATAAGAGAATTATTTTATGAAGTTTAAGATGGCTTCCAGAGCAAATTAACTCTCAAAACAGAACATGAGCATGCATCAGGATAGAAAAACTGGCTGCAACCCAGAAACTTTTACTAACGCTGGATTCAGTTTTTGTGTGGTAAGAGCTGAGTTTTCCACAACACGCACTCTGAGCGCTAACACTTGATGAGATGGTGCATATCGTTACTGACAAGGTTTGACCAAAATGGTTCCAGCTTCATCCCTTCGGAGTCCAAAACTGCAAGATGAGTCATGATCTGTGGATGTTCAACCTAAAATGCAGGCAGGACTCGAGGAACTCAGGAAAAATATTAATTTATAGTGACAGGCAGTTTGAAGCTGTTAATGCTGAAGCTCTGGTGCATTTATAAAAAATTCTAGATTAATGACGTCCAAGGCTTTGAAAGCACCAGTTATGTTGCTGCTTTGGTACCTGTTTCAAAGGTTCATGAGGAAGTAAATCATCAGACAGTTTGTGGTGTGTTTTGGTGGCACAGTTTGCGCAAAATATAAAAACCAGCGAGTGGCATGAAGCACGACATGGAGCCAGTCCGCATTATGAGTTTTATGTGGTTAGTTTACCAGTTTTACCCCAAGAAAGAAGAAAATTTTAGAAAAACACTAGATGTATACAAGTTACAATTATGATCTTACACTAAACATAAACTGGTTCATTACATAAATAAATTACAAGCATGATTCCAAACTGGTATTGTGTTGTGAATTAGATAAGAATTTTTCAAATCCGTGCTTACGAATGTGAAGAAGTCACAAGCAAACGGGTGTCATGCTAAGCCATGTTTACCACATTTATTCATCAAATAACCATAAGTGTATCTTTCAGACATAAACAATAATGTTTAAAGCAGCACAAGGACAGCCTGATATCAGACAGAAATGTCTCAGGATGTTAAACAACAGCTGTCAACTCTGGCGGTTGGACAACCACCATGAAGAACTTCATTTCAGGTGGTGGATTAAAGCTGAACTTTGTACTTGTGGCCACAATATGGGGCCAAAACGGTCAGCGCTAAAAAGCTTCAGGTAGTTGACCCTTTTTCAAAAGGAGCTTCAGTGCTTCAGAGAAGCTTCATTTGCCCATTACTACTAATTTATTTTTCTAATTTAATTTATTTTCTCACATCCCGCTCACATCCTCAACTCACAATACGAACTGTTACCATCTGGAAAACGGTTTAGAATCCCAGCTACATGCTGGGATTCTAAACTGGTACCAGACCATTACAAGCTGGTACCAAACTTAACAGATTTAAAAATTAATTTGTCCCTACATCAATCAGATTGTTAAACAAAGGAGGCATATAGTTTTTTGCTATGCACTGATGCTCTGGTTTCATTGTTGTGTCGTTTACTTGCTGGGATGTATGTGGGAATGTGCAATATGTGTTTTTATTGAATTATGTGTTTTTATTGAATTATGTGTTTTTATTGAATTATGTGTTTTTATTGAATTATGTGTTTTTATTGAATTATGTGTTTTTATTGAATTATGTGTTTTTAATGAATTGTGTGATTTTATTAATAGGTGTTTTATATTTTTGTATTTTATTATGGGGTTCACATGATTTTATTGGTTGTAGTGTATTTAATTGTGGAAGAAGCTTTGTTAGCGCACGATGTCTAAGACAAATTTCCGGTCGGGGACGATAAAGTTTACATCTATCTATCTTCTTTGGACTGCTCTCTTCTTCAGGGGTCACCACAGCGAACTAGCTCACAAAGACTTGGCGATTGTTTTTGTCCTTCCCGACACAACCACAGAGCTACCACAGCCCTCTGTGTGGAGCAGAGCGCTGCCATCTAGGGCACCCAGGGGAGCAGATGGTGGGGGCCTTGCTCAAGGGCCCAGAGTGGGGCAAATGAGGGTGGAGGCAGGTGTGGGTGCTTCACCTTTCCCACCCACATTTTGATGTTGTCAGTCTGGGGAGTTGAACCAGCGACGTTCCAATCACAGGCCCACCTTCTCTAGCCACTGCATCACCACTCCCCCCATCAATACTAATTTATTAAACTAAGAAAAAGAAAATTCTTACAAAGCAGCCAACTCTTCTTACAAAAAGAGCAAACCCTGGGAGCGAGGCAGAGACGGTGAACGCATGAACGTGCCATGTTTAATGCTCCAGAGAGGGAATGACTGAGGAGCAAAACTACATACAGCACACTGAAAAAACTCCTGGTGAGGAGACAACTGGGAACGGGAGAGAATGGGCAGGGTCAATGCAGAACTGAAAAACACTGGATAAAATAAACACAGGAACGCCAAAAACTCTAACCCTGAAGTACAAAATGTCTATAAATAAGAAACAAAAGACGGTTCCAGACAGAGGTGCAGCAGATGGTACACCTTCCTTCAAGTAATGCTAGGCCTTTATTTTACATCAGTCTTGCAGAGTGATGCTGTTGTTCACCGGGTGATCAAGCGATGTCCATCTGTGCTTTCATCTATCAGAGAAATGTTCAAAACTAACTTTGGTTTTTAATTTTTTTAATAAGTGACTCAAAGCCCACAGCAACAGGTGAGGGAGGGGAGCACAGCTGTGTGGTTTAATCTGAACCTCACTGCCACCTACAGGCATTTGAACCAAAGGAACAGTATGACACAAGAATGCAGCGGTTTAGACATCATGACTTTATAAAACAGTACCTTAAAACTGGCCCACTACCACTCTGCACACAGAATGTCCTAAAGGAAAATGTTCTGATTAGATCAGAACATCAGAAATGTGGTTAAAGTCAGAAAATAACAACAGAATGAAAAACATCTTATCTGAACTGTTACTTCATGGTGAACAGAAGCATGTACATGGAACAAAGGAATCAGAAGGTTTTGTTGCTTCGGTGTCCTTCCATCTGGAGTTAAAGGTTATTGGTCCATTTCAGTCATCGTAAAGCTTCTCCAGCAGAAGGCGTTTTTACTTGTGTTTCAGCTGAAGCAGCTGCTCCTTACCGTTAACGGTCAGAGAGCACAGCTGGCCGTCCTCTTCCACCTCCACGCGTTCCTGACCATTTTCAACAATCCTGAAGAACAACAAAATACACTTGGTTTAAATTATTTCATGATTGGACGTGAAAGAACGACATGGTGGCGCAGTTGGTAGAGCTGCTGCCTTTGAGCAAGGAGGTCATCGGAGCAAATCATGGCCTGGGACCTTTCTGGGTGGACTTTGCATGTTCTCTCCATGTTGTGTTTTCTCCGGGTACTCCAGTTTCCTCTCACAGAGCAAAAACATGCATGTTAGTCTGATTGGTAACTCTAAACTGTCCCTAGGTGTGAGTGAGAGTGAATGGTTGTTTGTCTCGTTTGTCTCTATGTCAGAGAGTCAGAGTTTCTTTATTGTCATTCGCACCTCATGTGGTACATGTGGTGGAGTGAAATTATGTACACAGGGTCCCAGTTACATCCAACAATAAAATGTATAAGAAAAACAGTAATAACATCTAAGATATGAACTAAGAAAAACATCAACTAAATATACACTAAGCACTCATAACATAAAAACATTGAACATCAGCACAAACATGAACATGAGTCTGTGAGCAGATGAGCACGCATGAACACATCAACATTGAAACAGATCAGCAGCAACATGAAACAGATCAGCAGCAACATGATGTGATTTTTCATAGTGATTATTCTAGTTAGAGATTCATGATTCTAACAGCCTCAGGGTAGAAGCTGTTCCTCAGTCTAGTGGTTCTACACTTAATGCTCCTCAACCTCCTTCCTGAGGGAAGTGGGGCAAAAAGTGTGTGTGCTGGGTGAGTGAGGTCCTTCATGATGCAGGTAGCCCTCTTCCTGCATCTAGAGGTGTAGATGTCTGTGATGGTGGGGAGGCTGACTCCGACAGACTTCTGTGCAGCCTTCACCACTCTCTGCAAAGCTTTTCTTTCTGCAGCTGTGCAGCCTCCATGCCACACGTTGATGCTTGAGCACAGGATGTTCTCCACTGCACACCTGTAGAAGGAGGTGAGGACTGAGCTTCCCAGACCAGCTCGCCTCAGCCATCTGAGGAAGTAGAGTCTCTGATGAGCTTTCTTGATCAGGCTGGTGGTGTTGTTGCTCCAGCTGAGGTTGTCATTCATGTGTACACACAAGTACTTGTAGCTGGAGACCACTTCCACCGCAGATCCTCTTATGTTCAGGGTCGTGTAGGTGTGTTTGTTCCTTCTGAAGTCCACAATCATCTCCTTTGTCATCTTCACATTGATGTGAAGGTTATTCTCTTTGCACCAGCTCTCCAGGTGTTCCACCTCTTGCCTATAGCTGGACTCATCATTGTTTGTGATGCATCCCACCACCGCTGTATCGTCTGCAAACTTTACAATGTGACAGCCTGGATGGGTTGCTGCACAATCATACGTGAGCAGAGTAAACAGGAGGGGGCTCAACACACATCCCTGAGGAGAGCCAGTGCTGAGGGTTATGGTGGAGGAGGAGAAGTTGTGGATCCTCACTAACTGTGGTCTGTTTGTTAAGAAGTCTAGTACCCAGTTGCAAATGGAGGGGCTTAGTCCTAGTGTGAATAGTTTGTCCATCAGGGTTTGGGGGATCATGGTGTTGAAGGCGGATGTGAAGTCCACAAAGAGCATGCGGACGTAAGAGTTTTTCTGCTCCAGGTGGTTGAGCGCAGTGTGGACCACAGAGGATATGGCGTCCTCTGTTGATCGGTTCTCACGGTATGCATACTGATGAGGGTCCTCGTTGATGTTGATGGTTGTTTTGATGTGAGTCGTGACCAGTTTTTCGAAGCATTTAGCAACTATCGGGGTGAGGGCCACTGGCCGATAGTCATTCAGACCAGTCACTGTAGAGCTTTTTGGGACTGGGATGATGGTGGCAGTCTTCAGGCAGGTGGGAACTGTCTCCAGGGTAAGTGAGGTGTTAAAGATGTCTGCCAGCACGTCGCAGAGCTGATCAGCACTTTCCTTCAACACTTTTCCGGGGATGTTGTCTGGGCCAGTTGCTTTGTGCGGATTAATCCTCCTTAAGGTACTCCTTACTTCGGCTGAGGTCACGCTGAGATGCTCTTCATCCAGTGGTGAGGTGAGTCTGGTGCTGGGTGGTCTGTTCGGGTCTTCAAAGCGTGCATAGAACTTGTTGAGGGCATCAGGCAGAGATGGGTCTTTGGGGCATTGTTCGCTCCTTCCTTTATAATCTGTTATGCACTTAATGCCCCTCCACATGCTCCGAGGGTCTTGTGAGATGAATTGACCCTCGATCCTCTGTGCATATGTGGCCTTGGCCCTCTTAGTACCAGAAACCAGTTACTTTCTTGTCCTACTCAGCTCCTCTGAGTTTCCAGACCTGACGGCAGTGTTCCAGGCTTCCAGCAGGGTACGCACCTCTGCATTCAGCCAAGGTTTTCTGTTTGGGTAGCTTTTAACATTTCTGATAGTGGAGACGGTTTCAGTACATGTGCTAATGTAACCCAGAACTGAGGATGCGTATTGGTCAAGATCAATCAACCTTTATTTAGACAGGTAATCCCATTGAGCCTCGAGGACTCATTTACAAGAGAGACCTGATTTCAACAAAGAAAGATGACAACAATGGACAACAGCAACAACAATAAGTTATAAAAACTCATACTACAGTTTTTTTTGTTTTTTTTTTAACAAATAGGATGGCTAAAAGGAAAAAGGTAACAAAACAAAAAAACAGCCAGATTCCAAGACAAATGTATAAAACTAAATACAGGAACATGTCTGCATTGGTCCCTGCCAGGAGTCCAACAAATTCTTAAAGCCACTTAAAGAGGTCAAGGTCGAGAGCTTCAAATCTTTTTGTAAGATATTCCAGGAAACAGGAGCGGAGTAGGAGAAGGCCCTTTTGCCTAGTTCAGTCCTCACTGAGGGAACACTGCAGGTAATAATGTCCTGAGAGCGCACTCCGTAGCTGCACTCACGCAGAGACATGTAGGAGGAGATGTATGAAGGCAGCAGACCAAGAAGTGATTTAAAGATGAAAATGTACCAGTGAGAGAGTCTGCGTGAAGTTAATGATGTCCAGTTAACCAATGAATACAGGGTGCAGTGGTGGGTACGATAATCACAGCCAGTTATGAATCTTAGTGCACCATGATAGACAGCATCCAACATCTGCAGGGTTCTTGTAGGAGCGTTCATGTAAATAATATCACCAAAATCAATTGAGGGAAGGAAAGTCACAGATACAAGGCGTTTTCTAGCATTCAGGGTTAGACAGGATTTGTTTCTGAAAAAGAAAACCAGTTTAACTTTCAGTTTCTTTACCAAGTTTTCCACATGGAGCTTAAAAGAAAGATGTGAGTCGACCAAGATACCCAAATATTTATAGGAATCAACAAACTCAATGGGGACACCTTTTGAGGATAAAATCGGAGGAAGAACTGCTGGGACCAACTTCCTATTTGAAAAAAGCATCCCTTTGGTTTTTTCGGCATTTAGGACAAGTTTGAGGCGGAACAAATCAGTCTGGATGTAGTTAAATGCAGATTTCAAAAGCTGGAAAGCCTTAGCAACTGTTTTAGCTCGACAATAAACAACTGTGTCGTCAGCATAGAAATGTATGGATGCATTAGGGATGTTTTTACCTACATTATGTATGTAGATTGTAAAGAGGGTGGGTTCTAAGACTGAGCCTTGTGGTACACCATTGTTGACTGTTAAATAACTGGAGGAAGTACCATTATGTTGAACACATTGCCTCCGGTCTGAAAGATAGTTAGAGAACCAACCAATGGTGTGATCTGAGAAACCGATTTCTGAGAGTTTATGACACAAGATGTTATGATCCACAGTGTCAAAAGCTTTAGACAGGTCTAAGAAAAGTGCAGCACAATAATCTTTAGCATCCAGTGCTTCAACAACGTCATTAAGAACCTTCAGTGAAGCAGTGGTTGTGCTGTGTTGTTTCCTGAAACCAGATTGATGTGGAGGTAAGATGTTAAATGAGTCCAGGTAATTTTTGATTTGAGAGTTTATCAGTTTTTCTAGAACCTTGGCTAAAATGCAGAGTTTAGAAATTGGTCGATAGTTGTTCAGTGAGGTGGGGTCACCTCCCTTCAGCAAAGGAAGAACAAAGGCCGTTTTCCAAGTGTCTGGGATGGAGTTTTGTCTTATGGAGAGATTGAAGATGTGGGTCACAGGGACTGTGATGATATGAGCAGCCAGCCTTAAGAAATAAGGTGGAAGTTCATCTGGACCTGCAGATTTTTTAGGATCAAGATCTTTTAACAGTTTATTGACCTCACTGACTGAGAATGGAGAAAAAGAGAAGCTGTGATTAACTGAGGATTGACTTGTAGGAGGGATTTGATTTGTAGAAGTTTGGTTATTAAGTGAAGTGGCTGATTTTCCATTAGTTACTGTGTCAAATAAAGAACCAGAAGCAACAAAATGTTTGTTGAAACAGTTCAGGATCAAGCGAACCTCCATTTTTAGCAGCTTCTCTAAAAATCTGCCAGTCTGTTCGGTCAAAACAATCTCTCAGTATGGGGCCACTGTCCTGGATCCAGCATTTAACTTTCTTTTGTAATGGTCTGGAGCGTCTCAGCGGGGGCATGTAAGCAGGAGCCAGGAAGATTGAGATGTGGTCTGACAGTCCTAGGTGGGGGCGGGGTTCAGCTTTGTATGCATCTTTTACGTTCGTGTAAACACGGTCCAGCGTCTTGTCTCCACGTGTCGGAATTGTCACATGTTGATTAAAGCTTGGGAGACAGTCCTTTAGATTCACGTGGTTAAAGTCTCCGGCTACAACGTAAAGAGCTTCGGGGTGTTTGTTCTGCAGCGAGCTGATTATATCATGTAGCTCCTGCAGTGATTCATTAGCATTAGCGTCCGGAGGAATGTAAACAACTGTGATAAAAGTCACAGTGAACTCGCGGGGTAGATAATGTGGCCGACATTTCACTGTTATTTGCTCCAAAGCCTTCGAGCATGAGCTATTTACAACAGTACAGTTCGTGCACCAACTTTTACTCACGTAAATGCACACTCCGCCTCCCCGTGATTTCCCCGTTAGCTCGCTGCAGTGGTCC